AGGCCCCAAAACCAATCCCTGGGGAACACTACCACATAAATCAGGAACAGTTTGCTGGTTGATCACTGATTGACACTGTTTAGTTCTGCTGCCAATAATAAATTTTATATTGCAGCTGCTCTTAAAACATAGATTTATTGTCCTCCCCTTCATCTACAGACTGTGTGGCACCAGTGATTACACATAATTGCAGCTGGTCTTGCTCCTCCCTCAACCCCAGCAAAAAGGGCAGTGTGCCCCATGGGATGGGAAACACCCCTATACATGCTACAGAACTAGCAAATTTTGTTCCAGTTACTGTAAAACTCCAGATGTCAGTGATGTAAATGGATTCACACAGGTATGAAGAACACAACCTTTCGCAGCTAATCCAATAAAGAAACAAAAGCACTTACATTTCACAGACTACATTTTTTAATTACTGTAAAGCTTTTGTCTGTGTGTTGCTCATTTACAGTCTAGCTTCGTATCCCCAAGGAACACTGCACCCCAGCACTGCATAGTAACGTACATCAATGGCCCTCTGGAGAATGTTAAAAGATGACAACAGAGTCTGAGTAAAAACGGATGGCATATTTATTGACTTTCAGGTTCTTAAAAACTCAATTTGTAGGCAGAAATTACTTTTGCTTCTTTTAGATAAACACGTTAGTTTACACCTCTGTAGAACTGCCAAGTGTCTTCATTCTACTATAGAGCAAACAGGGATTATTAGTCATTTTTATTTTTAGCTTTTCTACCAAAAAGCAGCTCCACTAAATTGAGGGTGTGGTTCTGCTAGCCAGAAAAGATATTCAGCAAACCAAATCTCCCATGGTCATCCTCAATTTTTGTACGTTAAGATGTACCATTCTATCTTGTGTCTACAGAAGACATTTACAAGACTTTTTTCCCACTATTGCTAACAAAAATGACAGCCTCCTTTATTTTCAGAGTTACATACAAATAACGCAGCTAATCATCAAAACATGTATGTATACTGAGAAAAACACAAGAATGCTCTTCGGACATTCTGGCAGAGACAGAGCAAGGAAATTGTTATTAGCAACTCTTTAGATAATATATTCTTTTAAGTATACAGTAAACTCCATTCTTATCATTAAATTCATTTAAGTGCTTTGCTGAAATCTCGTCTGTGTCTGCTTTAAATAACTGAAATAGATTCTGGTTTTCTCTTACTTTCGGTGCACTGTGCAGCATTCCTTTCATATTTGTGGTAAAAGTGATTACCAACAACTGAGGGGAGAAAATGAAAAGGTGTCACTTATGCCACAGGTAGCGGTGATAGAGTGGGCAGCATTCACAAATACCATCTTACAATATTTTAACCTTTTTAGTCTAGAGGAACTTTAGGTTCTATAGAAGAAGATTTTGTGTTGGAATAAGGAGGAAGAGCAGAAATCTTACAAACACTAATGAGCTGCAAGATGAGAACACTTTGTACAGACTTGAAACTGTTAAGGTGTGACTACCATTTAAAAAAAGACAAATAAACAAAATACAAGAGAAAAATAGTAACATTATGGATGTTTGAACTTTGTAAGGCAGTGCAAATTGTTCTCATTCTGTTTATTACCACTTTGTCAGAAAACAATCATCTATATGGAAGGTGTCACCCCAGATGTATTACTTGCACATAATACATTCTACAGACAAAATACACCACAGTTATGCAAGTGACTCCTCCATCATTATTACCAGTGAGTGATAAGAAATCACAATGCATTTTAAACTATGTAGGTAACCAAAGCAGCTTCTGGAATGAGATGGGAATGCAGGAGGTGAACAGACAGATGCTACGATCACACATAGCAATGTCTTTGTGTGTTCTGGCCACTAGTTTTCCTATGTTATTACCAGATTTGGTTATCAGCCAAAATTAACAACCCTAAATTTCATCATAATCAAACTGATGTTGACTGAAGCCCAGCACATCCTATCACCCTGTTTACAAAACATTTTTTGCTTTAGGCTTCTAATACATACCACTGTAACTATACACCTAGAGAGAGTGACAGGCAGCAAACTTTATACAGCCCATGGATCGTAGCCACAGCTTCTCACTGTACAGGCTGTATATAGATCATTATGTAACTCGGAACTCTAATCCACCTTCCAAATGCCCCAATTCAAGTATGTAAATTGAGTGCTAATACTTGCAACTATTTCTTATTTACATATAGCCCTTTGTTGCAAGTATATGAAAATAGATACAAATCTAAATAAATAGAGTATCAGGTGTGCAATAGTTACTTGTATGAGTGAACTACCTGATGAAAATCAGGTTCCAAGGCACAGTTTTCAGCAGTAATAATGCTTTGATAATGTTCTTCAAGATTTACAAAATTTGGCAGAACTTGATAAAAAGACAATGGTTAAGTTCTGGACTATACAATGACCTGACACAGGTCATTATTCTCCATGGTGCTTAGCTTGGGAATTACTTGCAAACACACCCTGTACAGTCCATAGAAATAAAGTATTGGCACCAGCAAGGATAATCTGAAACTGAAATTAGAACTATTCCCCAATACATTCCTGAAAAAAAAAAAAACAAAAACCAAAAACCAGGCCTAATTGTCCCTCCAGCCACTTCTGGCCATAACTGATGACTTTTCTGAGATAGAATAAGGCAGAATGAGTGGCAGGCTCAGTTTCCATTTCGTCTTTAAGTTAAGAGGCAATGCAGCACTTAACAAAATATTATTATTTTTGGAATGCCTATATTAAATTTCATCAAGAAGTACACCTTGCAATTTGTCATGAAAAGGAAGTCTCATTTTCAAATTTGGGATCTTAACAAGGTTTGAATCCCTATGCTTCAGAAGCTTTGAACTGACTGTCGTTAACACATGTGCTTACTCATAGCATCTTACTAATATTTTGCAAAGTATGCTTCCAGCATTTTCTTATAGACTATGTGCATATAAGCGGCATTGAATGCTAGGAAAAAATAGTAGGCTATTCAGGACAAAGTGAATTCTGAGACCTGCTTCCATACTTTAAAGTAACAGACATTTGCCAAGCATAAAAGCACAGAATTAATATTAAACAATTGTTCCAGTCATTGCACTGATGTCACATACAAATGCTGAATGTTCAGTGTATGTGTAAATGCAACATTTTATTGAATAACAGCAACATAATAATTCAATTTTAATTTCCAAATTGAAAAAAGACTGTTTCTAGGGTAGGCAGAGATTTTAGATTTTTTTTTTTTTCAGATATACATCGCTTGATAGAGAAATTAGTCTTGAGTGTTACCTCCACTGATGTACAAGAAGTCATCCTAGCTATTTAGAGCACTGCAATGCTCTAACTACTGAAAAAACAGATTGTCAGGTTTATTTTATCTTTTCCTCTTTTGAGATTGTCTTTCTTCAAGACTACAGTCTCAATTTCTAAGAGATCACTTACTGAGTAATTCCTAACTGATTTTCTCACTAGCAATCCCGCAAGGTTTTTGCTACAACCACCACACCATAAACCCCACATCTGTGGGTTTTCCTTTCATACTGAGACTGAAGGATCATTGTAGTCACCTGACACCACCATAATCTCATACTCTCTACTCTCTGTCTAGTGACCATACTAACATGAAGCCTGATAAGTTCACGGTGCAAGAAAAAGTGAGTTTGATGAGAATTGAGCCTGGGGGAGGCAAATTAATAAAGAATCACTTTGTTTTAGCTCCTTGGTTAGATAATTACTTGCCTTTGAACATCAAATCTCTATTGTGAGTAGCTTATCTGTCCAATGGCCAGTCCTCTCCAAAGGGCCTGGGTGTCTTAAAAGAGAATTAAGGTATTTTGTATGAAGGATGACTCCCATGCCTTTCTTGATCTGTTCTGTAATAAGATGAACTTATGTCCTCTCTCTAGAACAGTAATAAATATATGCAAATAACGTGGGAATTTATAAAAGGCAACATGCAGTTAATTTCACAGTATCTTTAAAAAACTTCATGCAAATGTACCCACTAAATCAAGCAGCATTTTAAAATACATGTGACAACAGTAAACAGTACAAATGAGAAAATCCTGCGTACATACCACAGTGCTGCCGTTGTGCATGTTATGCGTGTCCTTGTGGGCATGGGCACAGAAATCTATGCAAGCTGTGACACCAGAGAAAGGCCTACCGTCCGTGGATCCAAGACGACAGTCTGGGCCCATGTGCTCATTCTCCACCTACAAGTAAAATAAACTACAGGTACTTGGGACTCAAAGCAAGCGACTCGGAACCCCATGAGCCACAATGGCACTTGTTACAGAATAAATGCAGCCAGTGAGAATGATCTGAATGCACTTATTTTCCTATAAAACATGTGACACTTATGACTGGATGTCAACAAGACAATCACCTCAGACACAGTCCAAATGTCTTTAAATAATAAAAACATTTTATTTACATTATTCTTTCTAAGCCTTTTACATGTGCACAGCTCACAGCATAACTTAACCACCAGCTGAAATAAAAAAGGCGCAGTATTTTGAAACTAGTCAAATGAAGTAACCACTGTAAGCAAGCAAGGGGATTCACCACATCTGCGAGGCTGGTAGCTTCTACCCATGAACATACTTTGGGGTTTCATCTTGTTTTCAAACTGTGCTTCCTGTCCAAAGGCACAGCTGCACTAGTGGAATGTCACAGACCTACCTGGTTCTGGAAAGCTTCAGGAGCAAGCTTTTTATAAACCGGAGCCACATCAGTAGCCAAAGTTTGCAAATTATTTTCAAGAAGTTCCTCCTGCAGAGAAAGGCAACATTCAGAGTACTGTAATTTGCTTTAAAAGAATCTAACCCAGTTTAGAGATCCCTGACAAGTCAGCAAAGCTAAGAAAGTCCACCTCTATCTTATCTTTTATTAATCTGACTTCTGTTCCGTTGCCTTTTGTCACCAACCGTAAATAAGCCAACTTTTGCATTACTAAAATACCAAAGCTGTTAAATCTAGGTCAATGAAATAAAAAGGGAGGCTATCAGCTAGGGCAAGGAAACCCAACACACAAGGAACTAATTTCTGCATCTTTCCCCCCTTCTGATACAGACAGTCAAGGAATGAGAAGTGTTCCCCACAAAATAGAGAAGTAATGTCCAGAAGAGAAAAATGACACCACATGGCTGAGTGGAGATGGAACCCCAGGTCTTCTTTTAGCATTCTGTTTATGGGGCCTTAATTTGTGTTGATACAGCCCTGCGAACAGAATCCTAGGTCCCCACCTTCATTTTATTTTAATTGCATGAGTAACTCCCAATAGCATTTAACGTTAATTTCAGCTTTCAAGGTTTCTAACCTTGCAACACAACTCTTATCAGGAACATTTGATAAATATTTTGTTCTTTAGAGGTGCAAAACTCAGGACTTTATGGAAATACCTACTGGATTAGGGAGTAATATTCCTTTCCTTGGGGTAAGCCATATAAACATGCAACTAGCTAGGTGGGCTTCTATGAAGTGTAAGATTTAAGTTCTTATATACAGAAACAATCCCTAAATTATTTGTCTAAATTTTTGCTTTTCCAGGAAAATCACCAACCAACTGGGGAAGAAAGGGGTGGTGACATACTCCCTACTTTGTTCTCCTCCAAGGGCCAGGCTTTGAGAGACAACCGCAGCTTCAGCTTTGCATACTGTATAGTGGCAACAAATAACAGCTTATTTTGTTTAAAAAAACAAAACACACTTATCACCATATATTGTAAACACCAATGTATATAAACATATATGGATGCTTCCACATATTTCAATGTGATTTTACATTACAAAATGATGCCGTTATTTTTAACTCATACTATAGCCAGTTTATTAATTGTCGATCACTACCACAGGTTTTTCTGAACTGCACTGAAGGTAACACATCCTTAATTATCTATCCTATGTGCTATTCTTACCTAGGTGTACTATACCCTTAACCTCACCTCACTCCACCCAGTGCCTCAAATGATTCAGATCTTTCTGGACTTCAAACTATTTTCTTCTTAATTTGCTATACCTCCTAGCTTTATGGCATCTGCAAAATCACCAATATCCAATATTTAGCTAAAGAAGTATCTGCTAGAAAAATTAATGACAACACCAAATGAAGAGAAAAATTATCTACCAGTAATTTCAATTCAAGACACACCAACCACCTGCACACACACGGCAAGTGCCCAAACACTGCTGTCACCTACAGCTGCCGGCTCTCGCGTGGTAACCTAAGGGTGCACGTGGTTCCTCGCAGGCAAACCCAGTTCCAGAGTACCTGTGTGCTGGGCAACCCTCATCCTTTCTCGGCCACAGAATCCAAAGAGGTTTTAAAACAATGTCCATGGAAATAGGGAAATAAGTGAATGCACTTTTAGATCATGCATCTAGAAAATACTCTGGTTAAGTAATCTCATTTTGGCAACTGCTTTTAGACTGTGGTAGAAGTCATTCTCCTCCCAAAAATCTGCCAGTTTCCTGCCAAGTGAACAGGCCGTGGCAGACACCTCTGGCGAGTGGGGTGTCATTTCTAGGTGCTGCTGTGAACACTGTCGTGCTTCACTAAGTGTCCGAGTGGAGCTCAAGGTGGCCATTTCAGTGACTTAGAGGAAGCGATGCCACCTGCAGAACTCGCCGTCTGACGGAGCACACTCTGATCAAAGACAAATCTATCTGAGCTGTCTCACAAGAGATCTGGCGCAGCCTGATATTTCATTAGACAGCACATATGAAGGTTGCTGCCTTTGCTGAGTCCCCAGCTAATGTTATTAAAACCACTAGAAACCTACAGAAAGAACACATGCACAGAATGATCCGTGCAGAGCATTATGCAGGGGAGAACCTAAAAACACAGGGTCACAGAGAGTGGAAAAGGACAAAGGAGAACGAACAGGATACCTAAAAATGAAGAAATGCCCAGTAAGCTCATTCTTCTATAAACTGAAAATGTATAAGACAAAGTCCCTCTTGAGACAAGCAGAGCTATTTTCAGCTTGCACTGCCTTAGTCCTATATTCAGTGAAAGAAAGGGCGGAAGGGCCATGTGTGCTCTGTTCCACTTAGGCACAAGTCCCTACTTTAAGCACTAGTGAAGTCTGTGGATACCCACACTGTGAGGGGACAGCACAACTCACAGGAGAGGGAGGGTTTTGCATTCAGGCGCGTATGCATGAAAGATGCTTCATCAACTCTTTCAGGAAAAAAAAAAAAGAACTTGGGAAGAATACTTAGTTCCTGTAAATCAAATGACATCTCTCTCTTCCAAGAAACAATGAATGTTTCACATTGTGTGTACACATGCACGTGTACTCTACACATTAAAAAAAGCAAGAACACAGAGCTATGGTTTGGAGTTGTGCTAAAAAAAGTGTTGATAATTCAGGGATGTTTTCGTTACTGCTAAGCAGTGCTCACATAGAGCCAAGGCCTTTTCTGCTCCTCACCCCACCCCACCACCGAGTAGGCTGGGGGTGCACAAGAAGGTGGGAGGTGACAAGCTGGGACAGCTGATCCCAACTGACCAAAGGGATATCCCATACCATATGACATCATGCTCAGCATATAAAGCTGGGGGAAGAAGAAGGAAGAGGGGGAACACTTGGAGCGATGGCATTGGTCTTCCCAAGTAACCATTATGCATGATGGAGCCCTGCTTTCCTGGAGATGGCTGAACACCAGTCTGACAAAGGGAATGAATTCCTTGTTTTGCTTTACCTCTTAAACTGTCTTTATCTCAGCCCACAAGTTCTATCACTTCTACTGTTTTGATTGTTTCCCCTGGGTGGGGGGGAGTAAGTGAGCAGCTGTGCGGGGCCTAATTATGTGCCAGCTGGGGATAAACCATGACACCAATGAAAAGAACGGATTTGTCTGGGCTTTTTTAGAGGTTTGTTACTTCACACAATCCATCACCATATCTTGTGTGCTATCTCAGCTTTATATCATTACTAATACTCGTAAGCAGCAATTACAGTATCATTTCACTGCATCATATTTTAGTGTACTCATTCCTCCAAAGGTGTGTAAAAAACATGCTGTCCACAGAAAAAACAGTTCATTCCAGGTAGCAGACAGAAGACCAGGTTGTCAGCTGGTCTGTGTGAAAGTGGTGCAACCCAAGGCACAATATTTTCTATTGCAAGGCAAAAGGACTGAATCTCTGAGGTGCAGCCTTGGTGCTTAGAAAAACCTTTAGCTCTGTTTTATACTTACAAAGAATTAACATTTCATACAGAGTTACACAGCAGAGCTAAATATGCATACAGAAGAGCATTGAAGGATAACTTTAGAGTGTTTAAATACATAGTAAATGACACTGTGTTATCATACAGTAGAAAAATTATAAATACTACAGTTAGAGAACATTTAATTAGGTGCCTGTGTGATAACCTATGCATACACGTGTCAGAGAGAAGGGGTGGATATCCATAGACTTCATTTCTAGTTCTGAAAATCAAAGTATTTAGAGGAAAACAAAACAATAAAACAAATAAAATAAATCTTACTTGTTTAGGGTCATCAGTGAGAAGCCTGAATTTCCTCGGGTTTTTGCTTCTGGCAAACTTACAGCCATTGAAATACATACTCCATGAACAGCCAAATGAGAATGATGCTCCACAAGTTTCTGGATCAAGTCCTTGACATGCACAAGTACGACTGTGAAAGGAAATAGAGACATGTCGAATCAGATGACAACACAGATTTTTTTTTTTTAAGGTCAATTCCATTTGCTATTTCCTTTATAATATATACCATAGCAAGACAGAAATTTATAAAATATATTGTTTAACCAGATCTTTTCTGTTATGGAAATATTCATGTGTAGAGACTGACATTTTTTCTCCATAAAGACAGTCTAAATTCCCCAGTGTCCCACTTCTGGGAAATACATAACACTCATAACTTATAGCTATATAAACGTACTCATGCTACTTTGATTTTGACTTCTCCAGTTGGATAACATTTTTATCCAAGAAAATAGGACTGCTACTAAAGGTTAGCCCTAAATCCAATAATTTTGTTACATGCAGCAAAACCATTAGTTCCAAATTGATCGAACTTTCAAAGTGGAACAACTCTCCTCAGCCCAACCCTTTAGGAACACAAGCATTAGAATCAGGTCACTGTACAGCTATTAGAGTCTGTTAAATGTAGGCTACACAAAAATCAACGCAAAGGCAGCACTGCTATGGAGCCTCAGCTGCAATAGGTCATCCAGTCAATTAAACTAAATTCCTCTCAGGGGCATAGAGAGGAAGATCCTAATTTTGAGTGTTCAATCTCTCTCTTTTCAAAAAAGTCACATACCACCTTCTTAGCAGCTCTTTGTCATGGCCATGTCTGCAAAGCAGACACTGACTGTCTTTGGGCAGCGTGCAAAAAGTCAGGAGAGAAGTTCAGTGCCACCCCTTGCCCTGGGTGTAGCGTGTAAAACTGTCACTCAGGGGCTGGTCTCTAGGAAAAGTCAGGAACTAAGTTGTATACTGAGATGACACCTAGTGCACTGTAGCTTTAAATGAGCTTTTGGATATTTACTTTATTAGTTGAACTATTGAATTCTCAAGCTATTTAATGCAGAGCATTCAAAAGGCAACACAGCAATCATTTACTGTTAAAGGAACTTACTCTTCATTTAACGCACATCTGCGGCTGGTGGGACAGCCGTATTTTCTGAGGCTCTGCGTCAGCTCTTTGTACAGCGTATCAGCCAGGAGGTGGGGGATCCCTTCCCAGGCCAGGATGAGAATCACTATGACGGCAGTTTGACAGTGGTGTCCTGCGCGCTGACGTACCAAGCACAGCAGCTTTTCCTCATCGCTACTTCTTCGTATCACCTGGAAGAATCATATTGTTTATTCTTAGGTAAGGGTTGGAAACATGCAATGCATTACTCTTCTCTGGGAGATGTAAGGCCTGGAAGAGTCGGAAATAGTGCTGCCCAGAGAGTCTCCATCAGCAAGCAGGACTGGAACAGCACCACACACTGATCTCTGGTGTAGAATATGATTTTGCGTTGACTTTTTACCTGTAGAAGCAATAGCAGCACATTTTTATAGGAGGAGGAATATTTTAGGCACTCTACACAAACAATAAAAAAGATTAATTAAGAGGAAAATAACCACTAGAAGGAAATAATAATCCTGAGACAATAGATCCACTGCAAACCCAACATTTACCTGGAAAATAATACTGAAAACATATTGCCAAAACCCAGAACGCAGTTATGTAACAGCACAGCACAGAAGCACATGTATGCATGGGTTACCACAGTTACGTGTCAGTACATAAAATGGTTCCCACCTTGCAAAGTAAGATTAGAAGCATTCCTAGTGAAAGAAGCAATGAGATTTTTCAGAATACAACCCTAGATGAACAATATTGAAGTTCTTAGCAGAATGCTGAAGTGTTTACTAAACTGTAAGATACACAAAGCAATCTTTGTGAACCTTATGGATAAAACACAGACTAACACAATATAAACAGTACAATATACCACTGAATTAAAAAAATGAAAGAAAACAAAAAAGCCAGACAGTCATATTCCCACATATGTAGGTTTTTATCACAATCTGAAATGGGGTTGCATTGTGAGCAGACCAAAAACATGCATTAAAGCTAGGTAAATACAAGAACATAATCCGAAAATGTTTATTTATTCTTCAAGTGTGTTTTAGCCAGCACAGCCTGTACAAGGCCTCCAAGGACCTCAGTGTTAAGCTTCGAATGTATTACGCCTGGACCCCTCACAGGCACTAAAGGCTAAATCCACTTCCTTGCTCTGTCATGTATGGGACGGGGACCAGCAAGTCTCTATTCCTCACTGTGTGCAGAAGGTGAGCCATTACGTTGCAGAAGCTCTCTGCCAGCTCCGTAGCAGTACACTTCCTCAGGGCAAGCAGCCGGTCACCCTGGCTGTCCACCCAGCACCCCCTCTCCATCAGCAGAACTCCCACAGACATGTTACCGGTCACGTGCTATAAAAGCAAGAAAGCAATGGAGTTCCACTTACTCTTTGAAAACCTCCAAATATCTGAGTTTTCACAGACATTCCCTGTTGGACTGAACAGGGAAGATTCTTTGTTGCCAGACGTGCAGTTGTCATTCATACATGACCCCTGGCCTGATCAGCTGTGAATATCGAAATATTGGAACTCATTAAGTGGGGACCAAAGTATGCTGGCAATTAATCTGCAAGTGAAAAGGTTTTCAATAGATGAATAGTTTCAGAGGGAATCTGTGCAGGCTTAGCAGGAAGAAGCAAGATTAAAGTTAATTTGTGTCAAGAGAGAAAGTATCACCCTCCCGAAGTTAATCGTACAGTCTTACTATCAGCCTTAATGATAAAATAAGCAAATGCATCCGAGATACAATTCCTCAAAAGAAGTCTTGGTTATGACTGACCAACCAGTACAATCTTTTTTATAAGGAAAGAAAAATAACGTAACTCATTTACATTTGAGTGAGGTTCAGAGAAAATCTGTTATGGCTGATGTACGATACAGGTTATTCATGTAAGTGTGAGTTTTACATTCCTGAAGCAGCACAGTCCTTCATGTCAGAAGGACAAGAATTTAATTTCGTTACTCAGCATGAAGGGTGATGCTTTTATTCTGTTTTTATTTTTGTTGTTTCTAGACTTTGTAACTTCAATAAAGAAATGTGGTACCTCTGAGTTTCTCAGTACAACATCAGGTTGGCCTTTCTGAGTTCTCATATAGTTCTAAACTGGAAATACACTGTCCACGAAAAATGACAAATGGGCAGCAGGCGAATTTATAGTTTCCTTTAAACCAACACCACACTTCCCTGGCGTTAAACATAGCTGGAATTTGCATCATTATGCATGCAGTAGAGAACGCAGTACTCTTATTGGACCCAAAAGCATTTTACAGTCCATCATCTTTCAGGCCACAAAGGTAGCTAATGGATTTATCAGTTATCTGCTTTAAATGTCTGTGGCTCTTAAGAGGTTACATCGTACACTCATCTGACTGCTACAGCTGGAGCGCTCCAGTCCTTTTGTTGCAGAGATAAGGCGCTTTTCTCACCTGTTAGGGCGTTAGAAGAGCACAACTTGCACTGAAAGAGTCATGGCTCCTCCAGGCCCGCAGCCAGGGACAGTGCAGACAGAGCTGGAGCTGTGCTGCTTTTCCCGTATAAACGGATGGTGCCCCTGCACATGCCACAGCTGGCACTCTCAAAGCAGTCATAAACAGAGCCCATCCTTTGTGTTAATAATAAATACACAGCAACGCCACATTCAGTATACAGACGAGCACGTTTGAGCAGGACAGCTGGAAACTATGGAATAAATCCAGCCAACAGAAACACCACGTCATTCCTGAGGCTTTAACCATTTTTCTAGTGGGGAAAATGCCACTGCAGTTGTGGCAGACTGACTTGGTGACTTCTTAGGTACATTTACACTGATGTAACTCTGTTAATTTCCAACTTGTCATTTGTTTTCCAGTGCCTGACTACATCAAATAAATTTTTCAACTCTACAATAAATCACAAGTATATTGTATTATAAGTGTGTATATGTATCACGCAAAAGTAAAACTGTCTGCATTTGCTTTTGTTACTAAACTTGTCGTTACCTGAGTAATTAATACAACCCAAAATATGACAACAAGCTGTGTACTGCTTATCAAGATTTTGCCTGCTGTGCTTACAGGTCATATTTCTTACTATTTTTCTAAATAACAGACCTCGTAAGGCTTTACTTGACCGATCATTTTTTGAATTACTCTTTAGTTGTCTCTAGTTCATTCCTTTATTTCTACTCCAGCTTCTGCAGCTTGAAATGAGTGGGGATGGTTCCAAGATCTTTCCATCCTTAAACATCCCCAAACCATACAGTGTTTTAACCAACTGTCCCCGCCCTTGTTACTTTATGGAAACATCACACTTGTTACATTCATACAACAGCAACACTATTTTAATGATGTCTTCAGAAGAGTAGCACATATAAAATCTCAGTCTACACTTTAGTTCATTCTTTTCTTTTCAGCATGCATTTGACAAAATGTCTTCCTCAGTAAGACATACGGAATTAGTATACTGTCACAGAGAATATAATAATGCAATTTATTTACCAATTCCTCATGCAATAATTTAAAATGCGTATTTATTTGCTACTCAAAGTTTGCAAACATAATTCCCAGTGTATTTATTGTTTACCTGTGAAACACTGAGATGCCAAACATTAAGCTGAATATGCAACAAATGCAGCTAGTCCCTGAAGGTTTCCTCAGACTGTGAACAATGCACTGATCACCTGGCAAGTCTTGTTGTCCAAAAGTTGTTGGTGCTACTCATGATTTCTGTGATGCAGTTAACAAAAGTGATAACGTAAATCATTTAATACTTCACTTTGTTTAATTTTGGTCCCTAATGCATTTAAAAGGAATAAGAAAATAAACATTTGTTAAGTGGTGGAACTTTAAAGCTAAGTTCTTGAAACAGGAAAATAAAAACTTTTCCCCTGCAATTACTTTTCCACACAAAATAACCATGACTTCTTAGTGACTCACACAGAAAAACAGTATAATCAACAAAACAGACTTGTAATATGTTTGTAAAGTATTATGTAACACTTAAATGTCATATGGTCATCTTTTTGCAGGTATGTAGGGACAGATTATCCCAGAACTCATCTTAGCAAGCACTAGCTGTCATCAGTACTAAGTCTCCATCCAAAGATACCCACTTTAGCAATGACTAATCTGTTTCAGCTGCAATGCAGCACTTCTGGAAAGCAACACACTTAACAAAACGCCCCCACAGTGCTGACCAAGACCTGCCAGCCCTGTTCTGCACTCACAATAACCAGGCAAAGTTACATGCTACCCACTCCCTCACCCATTTTGCTAACATTACCATGTCTAGGGCAAAAAGAAAAACTGAAATGGGACACACTTCCTTCCAAATAGCTTTCTTTCACATACATATTTGCACACACAATGCCACCTGTATCATCCTTGTACATTGCTGATTTGGGCAGAATACTAATTTATTTTGGTAATTTTCAAAACCAAGTTTTGTACACCCCTCCTATGCTGCAGTCAGGCACCCACCACTACTACCACTTTCTGTACCGTGACTGCTCTGTGTTGTTGCTGCTATCCATGTGTCCTTGTTTATGTGTACATCTACGGGAAGGCAGCAATTCAAGTAATTTGTTTTATTAGCTAGCCCAGATATTCTCAAAAGGCAGAACCTGAGAATATGAGCAAGCCTGCAAGGTGAGCCGCAGCCAGCCAGCTAGGACAGAAGTACAATCAACAGCTGTCATGGCAACATACCACAGCTAAACCTCTGTTTCTGCAAGCCATGAAGGTTTAAATTAACCCAATTTTCTTAACAGAAAGCATGAGCCAAAAGCTAGAGTAAATTAATTGAAGAGGTGCCATCCACAGCAGAATTTGCCACAGCAATTCAGCAGCAAGTTATGGGATAAACAAGAAGAAAAGTTAGTTTTTTCACTCCCTCACGTACGGGGATACTGAAGAGACAGAAAGAGATACTAAGAATCAAAGAATCAAAGAATACAAGAACAGGACAAGGTCAGAGAAGTGGACTGTCCAGCCTCACCCTGATGCTGACAGTGACTACCAGCAGCTGCCCAGGGATGAGCAGTAAGAAAGGCACTGGGACACAGAGAAGCTTCCCAGCGACTGTCAGGCACCTTCCAGCCACCTGCTGGCAGCCGGGAGCACATGCTCTCTCCCAGCTTGTGAAGGATTTCCCTTCTGTGCATTTGCCCACTCCTAAATCTGCACAGCATTTTACCACCCACTACACTCCCGAGCTTAATTCCAGACTACGTGAA